AGTGTCATTGTCTCCCATCACTCCCAGATGGGAGCGTCTTGTTGAAGAGAAACAAGCTCACGCTCCCAATAATTTGTCGTTATTGTGAGTTGAAATTTTAATGAAAATAAAATGTTTGTTTTTGCAGCATATCTGTATTTTATTCTATAAGGATGTTTAAACATTACCGTAGTGACCAGAGTCAGAGAGCAATAGGACAGTGGTCAAGACGAGATGAGAGGAGTGGACCTTGTGAGTTTTTAAGACTGGTTCACATGGCACGATTTTAGAATTGTTGGCCGATTTTCAAAACCTGAGAGACCATGAGCCGATAAAAAGTCTGAAGTATAACAATTCGGTTCATGGACATAACCGATCGAAACACACAAACAGGGCCGCGCAGAGACCTATGGAGAGGCTCTTTATAGTTTGATTGTTGTGTTACCATGGCTACAATATGGCGTAATCTTTGTGTTTGAGCTGCACAAATACATCACAGCAAACAATAACCGATAATCAGTGGTTGAGTTTAAGCTCAGCCAATTAATCTGGACTCCCTGTCACAGACTTCAGTAAATCCCTATTTAATCACTGTTAGTGATGCTGAGGTTCTTAGTAGGAGGGGATCATGGAGCCTAAGTCATGATTCTGTCTAAGGCCCCATATTACCTTGGGCCAGCCCTGCATGAAGAGCAAGCTGCTGCGCTGCGCATCTCTGTGCTGGAATCAATATGATCTCTGATCAATGGCTCCCTCTGAATCCTTCCATTGGTGATGTTCTCCATCAGAATCAAAGCGCTCAACATTTACGTGGCTCACCTTTATGCAGCTACTGATATGTGTGATTGTCCTATGACATCATGTATAAAGCCAGCTTGAAATTGTTCTTACTGTTGGGTCTCTGCCCTTTTTCCTCGAAGGGTTCTGGAGACAGGCAGGCTGTAGGTGTAGTGTTTTGCCCTGATTGCTGCTCTGCTGCTTTATAGCTGCAATGCATGCAGGCTTTTCCCTCTCCCTCCTCAGAACCCTATATGGTTTGGTTTGTATCTTATAGCTGGGTTTTGTTAGGTTTGTTTGGGCTTTTCATTATTTTTGTTATGGGTTTTGTATTAATCTATTTTAGTTTCTCATTTCAGGCATTCCTTTTTCAGGTTTTATTTCTTTAGTATAATTTAATGAATTCATTCTCAAAGTCAGAAAATCCTTGTGTGGTCTCCTTTAATGTTACCCCACAAAACAAGCTTGGTGGACGTAACATCACTCCCTGGTGGTGTGCTTGGGATCATTGTCAAGCTTTTTTCTCTCTTGCTCTCGATCAAGGCGGACGCTTTTTTTCCTCTGCTCCTTCCCTACCCATGCCTGCTCTGCTTGCTCTGTTTTTCTTCTGTCTTTTTCTATATTTTTGGAGCCTTTCTTTGCACATCATCCAAGTCTACAAATTATGGATCTGGTCAACCGATCTCTCAATGCAATTGATCAAATTTTTGACTAGAAGTCTGGGCACAAGAGAGCCCTCTTGTGGGGACAAACCCGACGGGATTCACCCTGGATTTATTCATGATAACAGGATTTCTGATGTTTGTAGCTTATGGATACCTGGCTTATCAACAAATTTGTGACGAACTTGGCCGAACTAGCGAACATTCGGACTGTTGGTGTGGACAGAGACAAGGACTCTAGAACTCACTAACGAGTTGGAATCGATCTTGGAGAAGTTGCTAGTTTCGGCTCAGTGGAACGACCAAACTAATTTGGATAATTGGGAGATGTATCTGAGAGACTTTAGGGAAGATTGAAATTTATAATCTTCCCGACCTTCTGTTTCTGAATTGGCTTTCCCCGTGTGGCCTTGGGAGGGCTGCATATTTCTAATCTCCTTGAAGATATGTAAACACAATGCTCTTCCCTCCTCACCTCCTCCTGTATCTATGGAGTTACGAAGCGGAAAGCTCCCAAGGATATTCCTGGATAACAACACCTTTATCGGACTTTGCCAGGAGGCTGAGCAACGTGGTTCCATGGCCCTTTGACGTCACTGCCTTCACTTGTGTCTTTGTTTTGCCCTTTGTTTTGTCTGAATGTTGCCATCTGCCCCAATCAATCAATCAATCAAATTTTATTTGTATAGCACATTTCAGCAAGAAGGCATTTCAAGGTGCTTTACATAATTAAAAAACAAGATAAAAACAGCATGTGACATTGAATAAACAGTAAGAAAGAGAAAGAGATTTTGGAAAAAGAAAAAAAAGAAAAAGATTTTAAAAAAAGATAAAAACATACTTTTGTTACGGAATTTAAGCGCCTGTCGTTGCTGGACTCCACCGTCCATTTAACACGGGTATTATCCAGGCCCCATAGCCTAACAGGACAAGGTCTCCAACCTTGCAGCACCAGGCTCCGTCCACCTGTCACGCAAATTTTTGCACTAGGACTTCGCCGTCCTACATGGATTTTTGTGCACTATTTTTACCTGTTAGAGTCTAGAATTTACAGGGTTTTTCTGTGCGCGCAATGACCCTCAATCACTCGCCACTTTTACATAAATAGATAAAAAGTAAAGATAAAAACATTAAAAACATCGATAAAAACATTAAAAACATCGAAGACATTAAAGACATTTTGCTGTCATGCTCTCTAACCCTACTTAGAGAGCATGTTTAGAGTTGCTAATTTAGCCATAAGAAACTCTAAACAGGTGGGTTTTAAGTTGACATTTAAACGCACCAGTGTTTCAGCTGTTTTACAGTTTTCTGGAAGTTTGTTCCAAATCTGTGGTGCATAGAAACTGAATGCTGCTTCTCCTCGTTTGGTTCTGGTTCTGGGGATGCAGAGCAGAACCAGAAGATCTGAGGGGTCTAGACGGTTGGTACAGCAATAACATATCTTTAAGGTATTGTAGTGCTAAACCGTTCAGTGATTTATAAACTAACAACAGTATTTTAAAATCTATTCTTTGAGCTACAAGGAGCCAGTGTAGGGACCTTAACACTGGTGCTATGTGCTCCATCTTCCTGGTTTTAGTGAGAACATCAGCAGCAGCTTCTGGATCAGCTGCAGCTGTTTGATTGATTAATTAGTCAGACCTGTGAAGACGCTGTTGCAGTAATCAATGCGGCTAAAGATAATGTGTCCTTTCCTCTATTTTGTTTTAGAAACGGTGGAGTACTCCCTATTTAACCCAGAAAAGGATTATTTTAGTTTATTAGTAATATGAAAAATTGTGGAGTACGCACTATTTAGATCAATATTATACAGCCCAGAAATGGAATCAGAATTAGAATTAGAATAACTACGAACTTGGAATCCAGAAATACTTAACAGGAACAGTCACTGCTTAGTTACTATTACTTTCAACCCAGAAATGGATTTAGAACAAACTTAGAATTGTGGAGTACTCACTTTAACCCAGAAAAGGAATTAGATCAGTCACTCTTTAGCTTATGTTATCAGAAACTGTAGAGTACTCACTATTTAGAAATGGAATTGGATACTTGGCAACCCTGAACAGGAGCACTTAGTTTACATACTTTAAATCAACATTAGATTCTTTTTCTTCTTTTTCTTTCCTTTGGTTTGTTATTTTGTTTGTATTTCCTTTTAACTCATGTAAAGCACTTTGGATTGCCTTGTTGCTGAAAATGTGCTATATAACTAAAATTACCTTACCTTACCTTAAAAGACCCAGACATGTTTCATCTTCAATGCTCTTGCTGATGGAAAGAGGTTTGCACTCAAACTCTCACAATACATTGCCTCATTCATTCTTTCATGTACAAGGATCAGTTGTCCTGTTCCTTTAGCAGAAACAGCCCCAAAGTATGATGCTGCGCCCCCATGCTTCACTTGTAGGTATAGTATCGTTTGGATGCAACTCACCATGCACTCTCCTCCAAACACGACAAGTTGTGTTTGTACCAAACTGTTTGACTTTGGTTCCATCTGACCATATGACATTCTCCCAATACTCTTCTGGAACATCCAAATGCTCTCTAGCAAACTTCAGACGGGCCAAGATAAGTACTGGCTTAAGCAGAGGAACACGTCTGGCACTTCAGGATGTGAGACCCTGGCAGCACAGTGTGTTACTGACAGTAGCCTTTGTTGTGCCAGTGACAGCTTTCTGCAAGTCATTTACTAGATTCCTCCGTGAGGTTCTGGGATTTTTGCTCACCGTTCATGTGATCATTTTGACCCCACAGGGTGAGATCTTGTGTGGAGCCCCTAACTGAGGGAGATCAGTGGTCTTGTATGTCTTCCATTTTTTTTAATTATTGCTTCCACAGTTCTTTTCACACCAAGCTGCTTGCCTATTGCAGATTCAGTCTTCCCAGCCTGCTGCAGGTCTACAATTTTATTTCTGGTGTTCTTGCACAGCTCTCTGGTCTTCACCATAGTGGAGTTTGGAGTGTGACTGTTTGAGGTTGTGGACATGCGTCTTTTATACTGATAAGTTCAAACAGGTGCCATTAATACAGGTAATGAGTGGAGGACAGAGGAGCCTCTTAAAGGAGAAGTTACAGGTATGTGAGAACGAGAAATCCTGCTTGTTATTGACCAAATACTTATATTCTACCGTAATTTGCAGTTCTTAAAATAAAAGTGATTTCCTAGATATGTTTTCTCATTTTGTCTCTCATAGTCGAGGTCTACCTTTGATGTCAAATACAGGCCTCTCATTTTTTTTAAGTGGGAGAACTTTTCCCCCCACTGTAATTAGTGACCTCACTAATTGAACTTGGCAATTTTGAACATTTCAGCTAATGATTCACATAATCACAGATTCACAGAATCAGCAGCATGCATATCATGCTTGTTGGGTCTATTGGTTTTCTATAACTTTACTAACCCTTCTAGAAACTTACTTTCAGTGCAGAAGTTCAAATGTGAACAAAAACTGTGATTTATCTTGCTAGTGATGTGGAACAGAGTCTAAAAACACAGCTGCAAATAAAAACTGGTCATATTTGGTCTCAACTTTATTTATATACTAATTACTAAAATATCTCTGGGGGAAAAAAAACTACAAACAAAACATCTTCATTTATGCCAATGGAAAATAATTTCAAAACACCTGAAATGGTCTTATTCCTGTGCAAGTGATGAATACAAGCCAAATCAGAAAACATAAATATACCAAGACCTTTTTATACAGAATATAAATTTAACCCATGAATGTTACTTAGATATTGTGAGAACAAAAATTTTAGAACAATAATTACTTTCCATCCTGTTACTGTACTGCAAATAACAGAACTACAAAACAACGTCTATAAAGTTGAGAGGCTATTTGCTTGTCAATACCATTTCTGAAGACATTTTGAAACTTAAAAATCTCTTTCTACACCAGAATTAATCTTAGATTTCCCATTATGAAAATTTACCAATTGCAGTTTTGTTTATATAAAACTATGCAATTTTTTAAAAATAATTTTACTGTCACAAAAACAATAAAATGTTTATAAAGGCTGAAAGGACCAGTAAATTTTTTTCACATCAACAGTAAAAAGAAATTGCAACCTTTTCCAATCATCATCCTTCACATAACAGAACATAAGGAAAAAGCCCTTTTGGTTGTTTTCTTCTTGAACAGAATGAAGCTGAGCAATTTTGCAAAGTTGTATCTCATCCACAATGGCCTAAAAGTGTTATTTGGACGCAAAGTAGCCAAATCTGACTAAAATGCACAGTGTGTGCAGCAGCAACAACTCACTAATTTTACAGCACAGTGGTAGTTAAAATTTCAGTTTGCTTTGCAATCACAGAATCTGTACAACTCTGGCTATCGAAGTATTCAAGCTTGGCCAACACTGGAGAGTAATCTCGACCACCTGAGTCAGTCTACAACAGAAAAAAAAAAAAATTATGTTACGACTGAATCAAAGTTCAAATCAGATGTGGGAATGAAAGAGACAAAGAAATATTCTTACAGTAAAATGCAACAAATGAGTGCCAGTGGGATTTGAATCAGTCACTGTCATATTCTTCTATGATGACTTCCTCTTCCTCCAAGAGCGCTCGGTTTGTAATAAGATGGGACTGACAGACTTGCGGATCTTTCTCAATCCTGCAGTGCAATTCCTCTTCTTCCTCGATCTCCTGGCCCATCTCTTTGTCTCTTAGATTCTCCAGTTTTAATCTGAACACATGTCACAAAGACAAAGATGTCGTAAATTTTAATTTGAAACTTTCAGGTTCAGTTTTCTTCATTGGTAACCGTGGATACATTTTAGCTGTGATACAATAAAACAAAGACACAGGATGCCAAACTTCTCGCAGCTGTTCACTGCTTGCCCACAAAAATCCTGCAGGAGTGTTTTATGAAACCCCCCCCAAAAACAACAAAAAACAAC